CTTTCACATTTCAGGATCTAATATCTGTTACCTAAAGAAACCACTTCACAATTTCTTTTCTAAATGTTCAATGTAGATAAACACCCTTAACTTCATGCCTTCAAGCAAGGTTATGTTCTACTTTTCATAACCTATTTGTAAAGATTTCCAGGAAGCAGCAATCTGGTAGCAATGTTAGTGGTGTTGAGGCTCAGTGCCACAGACACTGCCACACTATAACTGCACATCAGCTTAATCTATCATGAATCTATAGGAGACAACTCCGTAATGGCCACGGGAATGGCAAACATAGGTTGAGAGGAAATTATGAGCCTGAAGGATATATACCAGATGGTTTTCAACATATGTCACTCCAATTTTGAGGTGGCTAAATTGTTGAGAAGGATTCTGAGGATATACTTGGTGCTCAGGGGAAAGACGGTAAAAGTACGTTATCATCTAAAGCTATGATTTCCATCAACAGGCAACAAGAGGATTATCTTCTGGGTTTGGCATCTTCCATGTGGTCCAGTACTGTGGTCTTGTATTCTTCATTTCAGCTTCTGGTCATGCACTTGCTTCATCCTTTGCTGGGACAACCAGCTCCCCACCTTCCCTCAGCTCTGTGCAGTGGTGTGAGTTTATGGTCACAAGTATTTATTCACAGTGAATAGAAAGGATCTCTGGTCATTTCAGCAGGAAAGGGAATGACTGGAGGAAGCTGAGTCAACAGGTAAGCGTGGGCTCAGGTGGGATACAAGAGAGAGGAGGGAATTCTGTCCTTGGATTAGGCTGTAAGCAGACACCACAAGCATTTGACACTTGCTGCCTGTTGCTACTGGACTCTTCCACCTTGGACACTGCCCCTTCACCGTGTCACTCTCAACTCCATCACAACCATTAGGAATAATCTAGCATAGTCACCTTTGATTCACCTCCACAACACTCACAATTCCAGGCTGGAGTCTGAGATCGGCAGTACCCAAAGGCCTCTACTCCAGCATTCTCAGAGAACTTGAGCTAAACAGGCGCTCTTTAGAGATGGCTGCTACGTGCTGTATTTTGCTCAGCAGAGGGCTGGTGAGAGGATGCGTGTGCCCATTCATCCAGAAAGTGCTGTCACGGAACACAGTGAGGAACCAAGGTGAGACTGGGCAAGTTCAAAGCTACAAGGTATGGCTGTCTACAGAGAGGCAGAGAGTGGGTACCAGGAGCTAAAATCAGGGGCTTTGGTAGTTGTAGCAGGTCAGGGGTCAAACTACGAAACTAGGAAGAACTGAAGTTGCAAAAATAAATGAAAACATGATCCACACACAGCTTCTGATGACAAGGAGTAGACCGTCAGAAAACATCTCTAAAGCTGGGGAGGCCTGGGAAGAGGCACAGCAGGCACAGGGTGTAATTCTACTGTAGACTTAGGTAATCAAGTAGTATATAGGTTCACGAAACAAGCAAAGAGAGCCCAGATTTGGTAGGTGTGCTGAAGTTTCTGTAACATTGCCATTTGTGATAACTAATCATTATGCGTTTGATCAATGTCTACGCATTGTAGGAGATGTTCTTTTATTTCCACTGACTTGGCTAAGACCACCTCTACTCAGTTGAGAAGTCAAAACAGTACTACATCAAACTGTAGGACCATTCTAGAGGCAATGGAGATTTAAAGAGCCTGAGAAGTTTATGGTTACTTTTCATTGAGTGTGGTCCAATGAATCTGTCATTCACAAAGAAATCCCTTCTTTTTGGGCCTGGCGCTGTAGCTTAGTGGCTAAAGTCCTAGCCTTGCAAGTGCCAGAATCACATATGGGTACCAGTTTATGTCCTGGTGGCCCTGCTTTCCATCCAGCTCTCTGCTTGTGGCCTGGGAAGGCAGTACAATCTTTCTCTATGTCTCTCCTCCTCTCTGTATATCTGACTTTCCAATAGAAATAAATAAATTGTGAAAAAAAAAAGGAAGAAATAAATCTTAAAAGCGGAGGAGGGGCAGCACAGTAGCCTAGCGGCTAAGGTTCTAGCCTCTTATGCGCCAGGATCCCATATGGGCGCCCCGCCTCCCATCCAGCTCCCTCCTTGTGGCCTGGGAAAACAGTCAAGGACCGCTCAAAGCCTTGGGACCCTGCACCTGCGTGGGAGACCTGGAAGAAGCTCCTGGCTCCTGGTTTTGGATTGACTCAGCTCCACTTGGAGAGTAAATCAATGAATGGAAGATCTTCCTCTTTGTGTCTCCTCCTCTCTGTATATCTGACTTTCCAATAAAACAAATAAATCTTAAATCTAAATCCCATTTGCTTGTTTCTCCAATCTTTCAAACGGCGCTCATGTTTTTTCTGACTGCACCTAGCAGTTTTGGCCAGGTGGCCAAATGAAGCAAGGCCAAGGTGGTTCAGATGAACTTAGGCATTGAGTAGATGCAGGAAAGCCAACTGGTGACTGGCAGGCAGCATTCTGAGAGGGGTGATGGTCGGAATGGGGGTTGGTGTGCAGAAGGACCTGAAGCCGGGGGAGAGTCATGTTTTCTGCTGTTCACACGAAGAGAAAGTCATCCTTACAACTTCAGCAATGGAGGCCGCAGCAGGCAGTGTATCACTGATAGCGTATGGGAGGTGCTTAGCCTAAGCCACAACATTTCTTGGCAAATCACAGATTCCAGGGTGATAATGAAAAGGTCCCTGCTCCACTTTGTCTTTCAAACTTCCAGTCAAATAACATTAAGCAACAACAAACTTAAATAAGTGAAAATATTTTACTTTTATAGGTGCCTGACATAGCTCCTAAATTCTGCTGAAAGCTTCCCTTATGTTTTTCATTCAGCAGACCTTCCCTGGGGTTCCGACTTAGCATCCCTTACCACTAACACACATACCGGACAGCTGGGCTCTGCAGGAGGGAAACAGGGGGCAGAGTTCATTTGTACATTTCCTAAGTAAACAGATTTTCATTTAAAAGTATTTTTCATTATCCAAACTCAGTAACACTTTCCAGATTCTTCTTCTTTAAAAAAAAAAAAAAGATTATTTGAAAGGCAGAGAAAAGAGAGCATTTCCATGAACTGGTTCATTCCCCAAGTGCAAACTCATGCAAGATACTTCCGGGGGTTAGCAGGTACCCAGCTACTGGAGCCAGCACCTGTTGCCTGCCTAGGATGCATTATGGCAAGAAGCTGCGCTGGAGAGCAGAGCTGGGATCCATACCCAGGCAGTGTGACATGCAATGACAGTGACCCAAGTGCCAGCTCCACCTCTGTGCCACATGCTCATCCCCCCTCATTTTAAAAACAATACCGTAAATATTTCTGGAAAAAGTCAATCATTACAAGATTGAAAACTTTCCAGGTTATTTACAGGCTGCAGCTTGGCACTGGCTGGGGAATATTTTTAGAAAGAAAACAATGAGGTTGGGAAGATACAAATTCAGTTAAATCAGAACAGCCTGTAAATGATGGGTGATTTTGTCTTCCTCTCCACATTTAAAATTTCAACACACAACGTCTTCAAGGCCACCTCAACCCTTAAACTATGGTAAACTAGTATAATCCATTAAAAAAAAGAGTTTAGAAACAAAAAACAAAAAAGAAATCTATTTTATTTAGAAATTGAGAAAGGCAACATCACAAGAAATTTATTTTTTTGGTTTTAAGGAAAGCTGAATATGCATGTTCATGTTTCATGCCCACGGCAGTGCATAGCTAAATGAAACCAAGTATTGCTCCACAGCGTCTGTGCCTTTTGGTTACATGCACACATCCATGCCTACTTTTGGCTCATTCGGGGCAGATTTTTTTTTTCTTCATTGTTCTTAGAAAACGAGAGGACACTGACAGAAATTGTTGTACTTCACAGTTGTTGAAGAAGACAATTCTAAATTTCGCCAAAAACCGCAAACAAAAGGAAACCAACAGTGCCACATTAATGACTCTGATAACCCCACCAAAGAGGAAATAACAAAGAGGAAATTACTCCGACCGGATACAAGTGACTATAGCACAAGCGGCTCCAGGTTCAGCCCATCCTAACCTTGACTAATCCTCCTCCTGTCCCCGCCAGTTCTTTGGGGATCTAGGTCTTCCCCTCCACCCCACGCAGGGACTGACAAGGGTGCTGGGATCCAGACGGGAGCGGCTTGCGCCACTTTCGGGGTCGCAGCCTGAGTTTTCACATCTGCAAACCCCCCTGTCCCCGTTCTCTCCCTTGGGGCGTTGCCAGGATCCTATACGAATACGTCGTCCGAGATCAGCCAAAGCCACCATTGCTGGGACGGTCGCCAGCACAACTCGGCTGCAGCTTCCCTCCCGGCAAGGCTGGTTCGACCTACAGTCAACAGGAAGCTCCCCTGGCAGGGACAGGATCCCAGCCTCGGAAAGAGGCCAGACGCGAACGTTTTTGGACGGCGACCAGGCTGTTGGGGAGGGTGTGAGTAACGCCCCCTGCTCCGCGGCTGGCCTGAGATTTTACTATCAACACAAAGGGTGCGGAAGCAATGGTGCACACAAGCCACCCCCCAAACTAACTCCACGCTCCCCCAGAAACACGACAAAGCCCCCAAGCCCTGGGCGTTACGGACGGCGGGGCCGGGAAGCCGAGAAGGACGGAGGGCGGGATCTGTGCGTCCCATTGAGCCAGCCCGGAGCCCGACTCCCGCCAGCCGGCCCGGGGCTTCGGCGGGCGCGGGAGCGAGTGGACCGGGCCGCTGCCGGCCTGCTCTGCGGCTCCAGAGGCGCCTCCTCCGCCTCACGCCCCCTCAGCCTGCGCCGCCTCGGGAATCCGCCCCGGACCCCGCCGCCATGTTGGGTCGGGGAAAGTGACTCGGACTCGCGGCCGACCCGGATCCCGGCTGGGGGGCGGTCAGGAGTCGGCGGACGGCCCGGGGGGCGCCGGCGCCGGCAGGCTGAGGGGGTCGCCTCGAGGCGGGCCCGAGTCCCGGGGAGCTCGCGGCGGAGAGTGCAGGTAGCCGCAGCCCCCGCCGCGGAGTGGAGTGGGCGGAGCCGGGAGAGGAGGAGGAGGAGGAGGAGGCGGCGGCGAGGTGGAGGTGGGGAGCGGCGGCCGACGGCTTGGGGAGCCCGGGAATTCCCTCCTCCTGAAGTAACGAGTCCCGGGCGGCTTCTCTCGCCTTCGCCGGTGCCGGGCGCCCCAGGCTTTGGAGGTGGAGGAGGGAGAGGCTCACGGCGGGCCTCGCCTCCGCCCGCCAGCCCCCCTGCCCCAGCCCCGGGAGCTGCGGTAGCAGCGCCTCATGAGAGCGCGGCCGCTGGGCAGGTAAGGATCTAGCGGGGGAGCCGGGGCGGAAGCGATGGACCCGGGTCCGGGACGAACGCTAGGCCCCGGCGCCCGTCCGCTCCCGGAGGCGCCGCCGTTTCCCGCCCCCGCGGCTCCGAGTCGGGAAGTTGGGAAGAAAGTTCTCCCCTCCCCCGGCCCGGCTCGCCCGGCGGCCGTGGAGCTCCTTCCCGGCGCTACCTGCTCGCCCCCTGACTCGCTCTACGCCCCGTCGTGTCCTCCTCGGTCCCGCCCAGGTCCGACTGGAGGATCCTCCGAGCGTTTGGGGTACACTCCCCACCCCGGTCTTTAAAAGGTCGTTGGGCCACCCTGCGAAGTGGGGCTGTGGGGGGTGTGCTAAGCTTATTTTTAACTCCTTGGCCGGAGTAGGGGACGGGGAACGCGGCCGGGAAGCGTGTCTGGCGCCGGGTGGCAAGTGTGCAAGGCGGGGGCGAGGGGTGAGCTGCGGGCGTCGCTCAGTTTGATTGAAAACCGCAACATGTTAAAAGTTTTCCTTTTGTTTTGGATTGGGGGTTGGGAAATTTGCCATTCAGCGTCCACTTTTATCTTGCCATTCCGCCTCTCGCTGTGTTCCGATCCGTGTCCACACGTGTGAAAGCGAATTTTGTCATAGAGCGTGTGTGTGTGTGTGTGTGTGTGTGTGTGTGTGTGTGTGTGTGTTTGTTTTCCCTCCTGGTAATTGCTTGCGTCTTTTGCTGTATCGGGATTAGCACAGAGTTGGTTTAAGAAAGCTCTAGTATCCAGTCCAGGGGAGGGAGTGCTTTAGTTTTTGTTTTGGGGTGAGTTGGAACAGCGTAGTTCGGACTGTAGAATTACTTTCAGCATGCCTAATTGAAAGGGGCACGGAATACCACACGGTCTAGTAACTTGCGAGTTTCTGAAGCAGGTAAGTGAAAAGGCTGCGGTGGAACCACGGCTCCGTATCCTCACGTCCTTGCCATCTGTTGTGTGTGTGTGTTCACGCGGATGTGTGATGTGCCTGTGGAACATCTGTGCATGGTTCACTTGTAGGATCGTGGAGTCAGAGGGGGTTTTGTTAAATGTCAAGTGTCCTGCTCAGGGTCTAAAGTTACATTGCACGTTAAAAATGTTAGTGACGGTGGACATGTGACACTATGCATTTAAGGCAAAGTGCATGCGAAGTCCACTGCCTGAAACGACACACTGCTTGGCACAGAGGGGCCAGGAGGCATTTTAATAGACAGGTGAGGAAGGGTGAAGGAGTCTCTTGTGTCAGAAGACAGTGGGATCTTGTGTGCACCCCGTGGTTTTCACCTAGTTTACAATAAGTTACATTTCAACATACTTTTCCCTCCCTAGAAATGTGTGCGACTCTTGCCATAGTTGACATTTAAGAAAAGGGAGTTTAATTGTGTTTTAATTTTCAGACATTAGCTAAATCTCAGTGGAGAGTTTAAATGCTGTTTGACAATTCAGAGTCCTACATTAAAAAAAAAATTGCCACGAATCTAAGGGTTCATATTCGTGTTTCCAGGATAAAAGATAATGGGGCTCTTAAAATACGTACTCTGCTGTAACCACCGTAATGTTATAATAGCTTTAATTTTGCAGTTAGCTTTTGCTGACTTCATAAACCACAAAATTGACTCCTTTCTGTTCAGCCGAAAGTGAAATTATAGCCTTGACCTATCTTCCTGGGATAGGTGGAATTTGTCTTTTGGTCAAAGTGTAATATTAATATCTTGTCTGAGATTTTTTCTTTAGTTAAGGAAATCCTCAAGCTGAAAAAGATCTGTGCTTATACACACATTTTCATGGCATGTAATGGTAAAAGAGTAAATATGCCAAAACAGTAGCAGTGGCCCATCCATATAGATGAAATATGAGACATTTGCTGAAAGTTCAGATTTGTGTCATTTATTACTGCGGGTAATTATTTCCCGACTTATTTAGCTCTCCATCCACTGAGTCAAGTCAGTGCAGGCATCACTTGTTGTATTAGGAGTATTTTAAGAAAGTCTGGCAAGCTTTTGTGTCTAAGAATGCATACTTGGGTTCTAAAAAACAAACAAGTATATATTTTTGAAGTGTACAGGAAGTGATTGCTGTACAAGCCAAGGTACGGGAGTGGGGAGGAGGCTGTGATTGGTGGCAAAGTTCTTTTACCCTGGTGGTGGTTGCCAGGGTGTTGGCTTTAGTGTAATTCCTTCAGCCATATCCTTGCAGCGTGGGCTTTTTTCTTGTCTCATTCTACATGCAGCTTCTTTTTAAAGAAGCCTGTTTGTAATTTACTGTGTGAGGTATGTGGGTTAAGAACTCGTTGATTGAATGAATACTATCTTGTCATCAGATCTGATTTTCAGAAAATGATGGAATGTGTGGCAAAAATCACAACTTAATGATGGCTTCATGCCTGTGTGCTATTTTTTAATCTTCTAGACCAGTAGTTCTTTAGATTTATAATTTCCCCATTAGTTTTGCTATTCTTAGGGATGTATTGAAGTTACCCACATAAAATGGTTTAGGGTAACTGTATGAAGGTGTGAAGGACCTGCAGGAGGGATGTTTTGTTTCAAAAGAAAACAAATGAGAGTTTGTGTTGGGAGTTTCAGAAATGCAGAGGACACCCCGTACGCTGTACGCTTTCGTTTATATAACGGCTTCTTGGTTTTGGTGTGGATATTGTTGCTTTACATTATTGTAATGTAGAATTGAAAAAAAAAATCACAGCTGAAACTCTTACATCACAGGAACTTTCCTTCTGCTGTGAAGCTGCTGTTTGTGGCACTGGCTTTGTCGTGTGAATATTTACAGGAAGTTTTAGTTAAGGTCTTCCATTGTTCGGAATCTTGCAAGGCTTAGGTCACCTCCAGTTCACGTTTAAGCCGGTTTATAATATAAATGCAAGGTCGTCCAGTGAGGTGCAGCTCTTCTCTAAAGGAAAGAATCTGTCCCTGTTCAGATATCTCAGTGTCTCGGTAGTAGTGTATGGCTAGGGCAGGGTATGTATTATCTCTTCTTCCTCTCAGCTGCTCCAGTGCCACAATTAGACTGAGGATTGCTCAGCTGCAGCTGCTGGGTGATTATGAACCCTCCAGCTCCTGTCTAAACTCAGAGGCGGATTTAGCAAAAGGAGCTATAGTAACAGCAGAGCGTGGCAGAGAGGAGCCGCCGCTGCTGCCAGTGTGCCAAGGAATCGTTGGCTGTAGCAGCACTACTTTTGTCTTTGGAACTAGCTGGCTTGATGACAATAGATCCTGTCCTAGACTTAATTTACTGTTAACATCTTGAAGCTCCCTCTCCAGGGAAGACAGAGTCCTGAGGTTGCAGAGTACAGGAAAACATGCTGATGACCCACTGCTGGATGAATTACAGATCTCTGTCCTTCGGCCTAACCCTGTGCAGTAATGTGCCTCACTTTTCGTGTTGGAGGGGACAGTAGGCTCTGAGACTGCAGCTTTCGGAAGCATCTGCCCTGTGCTTGACGCTGCTCTCAGCTGTGGTTCTTGGAATTGCTTCAGAGAAGGTTGGGTGGAGGCGGATTGCTGCTCTGCAGGTTTGTTGGAGTCCTTCTCCCAGGAAGTGGAAGACCTCAGGAGGTCATTCCTAGAACTGGATGCACACTGTACTCTCCAAATAAGATCCCAGGATTCTTTCCCCATTGGCTCTCTGTTCCTTTCTGCTGATTGAGAGGATGGACACCGTGTTGCAGATGCAGTATGAGCTCTGTATGGCAAGCTCTGCACTGGGAGATGATGCCTTAGGCAGATTTTGCTGTTTCTGAAATGTTGCTCAGTTTATAAACAGATCAGTCAGATAGCAGCAACGCCTGGTTCTCTCATCACTACTGACTACTAAAACAATGTAGACACTGTGCCTTTGCTAGCTTGGTTTTGAAACTTGGTAGTTCACGGTTTGGCTAATTTGGGAAGGGAGGCCCGTAGTGTTGAGCTTGTACAATCAGTAGGAAGGAAAGGATACAGCAAGACCACACGTCACCATGAGGCAGTGCGCAGCTTTACTGTGGCATTCGGTGAATGAAGCATTGGTGGGGTTCCCGCGTGCTTTGTGCTCTTGCAGAACCCCTGTGTGAAAGCACCTTTATCTGCATTGTGCTCGTCTTTGCAGGACTCCTTGTCTTAGGCTGTGTGTTCAGCTGTGGTTGCAGTTCTTGAGAACAGTCCATAGCACAGTAAATGCTAAGTAAGTTGTGAATTATTTACAAGATGTGGTTCTGTATGTATCTATATGGTTTTATAACTGCAGACTTTTTACACACAAAAAGTGTTTTAGGTAAATCTCATAAAATTTTATGAAATTAGCTTGTTTTCTTTCTTTTTTTTAAATTTTAAAATCTTCTGTGCGATGATTCACTCCTCAAGTGACTGCAATGGCTGGAGCCGAACCGATCTGAAGCCAGGAGCCAGGAGCCTCTTCCAGGTGTCCCATGCAGGCGCAAGGACCCAAGGCTTTGAGTCATCCTCTACTGCTTTCCCAGGCCACAAGCAGGGAGCTGGATGGGAAATGGGGCCACCAGGATTTAGAACTGGCGCCCATATGGGATCCCAGCGCGTGCAAGGCAAGGACCTTAGCTGCTAGGCTACCGTGCTGGGTCCTGTTCTTTTCATAAGTTTAATAAATTCTTTAGACTTTTGCTCTTTAGCATAGTTCTACAAACTAATTTGAGTATTGTTGCAAATGTGAATTTAAAGGTCATTTTGAAATTTCCTGGAATTTTTTTTTTTTAGTTGAAGTTAGACCAGTCATTAGTAAGGTTTATCTTAAGTATTTTCTTAATGTTTTAGTAATTGTAGAAAGTTCTGATTTTGTCAGAAAAAATTGCCTGGGGCAAAAAAAAATCCAGGAATCTGATTTTTCTTGCTGTAATGTGTGTAAAGGAATGCGCAGTTCATAGGCCATGTCTGCTGGGTTATTGGAGGTTGGGGGCAGGGACAGGAAGTGGTGGGAGGCAAGGACGACTGTGAAACTTCAAGATTGTCCGATGGTCAGTCCCTGTTCCC